CCCCCCCCCCCCGCCAGTGGCACACAGAGCCCACAAACTTCCTGCCCTCCTTCTGTAGGAGACGGGGTTCCACATTTTGGGCAATACGTGCCTGTGGCTCCCGGAAGCCTTGGTTCCATCAGTAGGGTTCACTGCTACAGGGTTTTATTGGTTTAGATTTTTTGGTATCAACATCAGTAAGACTGGCATGTGGTGGTTTTGTCTTTGTAAGTTAGACACTTGTGCCCAGTTTTGGTATCAGTGCATTACTTTGCTCTATAGAAGCACATCTGGAAGCTTTCTCTGTCTCTGCGATCTGGAACAGTTCAGAGAACATCCTGAACTTAAGTGTTTTTTAAGTCTGGTGAGATTTCTACCATCTGGGCCAAGGTGCCTTTGGAAGAACTGTTTCCCTCGCTGCTTAAGGTTTCTGCATGACTCGAGTTTGGTGCAGAAGGAGTACCGAGGGCCATTCTCGGGCTCCAAGTGTTTCAGAATTCACTTAATTTCCATAAAGTAATTTTCATTTTCTCAGTTTTATTTTGTACATTTAATGTGCTTTCTTCCATCGCACTTCGTTGTATGTTAGCTAATAAGGTATCTACTTAATTGTTTTTTTTGGAAAATTTTTTTTTTAACGTTTATTCATTTTTGAGACAGAGAGAGACAGAGCATGAACGGGGGAGGGTCACAGAGAGAGGGAGACACAGAATCGGAAACAGGCTCCAGGCCCCGAGCTGTCAGCACAGAGCCCAACGCGGGGCTCGAACTCACGGACCATGAGATCATGACCTGAGCCGAAGTCGGACGCTTAACCGACTGAGCCACCCAGGCGCCCCTCTACTTAATTGTTAAGTAGAGATTCATCTTGGGTCATTTTTTGCTGCTGACTTAATTAAATTGCATTTTCATCTTTACAGATTTCTTCCTCTTGCGTGGCTTGGTTTGTGCAGGCACGTGCGTGTGTGTGCGTGGATGCGTGTGCGCCTGTGCGCGTGCACGTTTCCCTGATGATTTCACTTGAAGACGTACTTTCATTTGCTGCTGCTCAGTAGCATCGGCCCTATTTTCCCCTGAGCACTGATTTAGCGGTACCTGCTGTCCTTCGTTTTCTCTCTAAAGTCTAGAAATAATAACGTTAACCTTACGGTATGAGTGAATACAAATGCATAACGCTATATTTCTTCTGAACTCTGGACTGAACCTCCCGTTATTTTATGTGGCGAAGACAGTAAGTGGCATCTGTCCTGTCTTAATAGATTGTTTTTCTTCTAAGTTCCCCAGACAACTTACTTCCTATTCTGTAAAAATTATGCTTTTCCTACCATTTGCCCAATTTTCCACTGACATGCACATTTAAACAGGTTTTTTCTTTCAGGGGAGCCTGGGGTGGCTCAGTCGGTTAAGCATCTGACCTCGGTTCAGGTCTGTGAGTTTGAGCCCACATCGGGCTCTGTGCCGACGGCTCGGAGCCCGGAGCCTGCTTCGGATCCTGTGTCTCCCTCTCTCTCTGCCCCTCCCCCACTTGTATGCGTGCTCTCTCTCAAAAACAAATAACAAAACATTAAAAAAAATAAAAGAATAAAAAATAAAAGTATCTCATTTTGCTGAGTGTTCTCAAATTTGCCATCTGTATCCTTCAGTCTGTCTTGTGAATTCATTTTTCTTTTGCTCGGCCTGTGTTTCCGGCCATCTGCTCCTTTTCTTTCCTCAACTCTGTCAATTTCTCCTTTGTGGTTTTTTTTTTTTAATGCAGAAATTCACTTTTCTATCTTATTTTTAATGTTTATTTTTGAGAGAGAGAGAGAGAGAGAGAGCGCGCAACCTTCCATCGTGGCTTTGCACTCTTATTTCAGAGAAGTAAAACTTTTCGGTGCATTCAGGCCTGTGCGTGGAGTACACTTGCCTACGGCCTGACGGGTCCGTGATGATCCTCTCCTGGCCTGGTCTGTCTCCTTCGTTACCATCATCTTTAACAGCTGCTCTCTCAGCAGCCTGTCGCACGGTCCCATGGTTGATCTGAGTTTATCATGAGCACACCCTTCTGCGTGAGGGGGACCTCCTCGCTGCGGCCAGGGAGCATGCCCACACCACTGGGCTGTGTGACCGTGCGTCTGGGCTGCACGGCCTCTCTCTGGACCTCAGGGAGCCCCCCTGAGAACACGCCTCACGCTCCTCTGCCTTTTCACTGCGTCCAACCCGTGTGTGTGAATCTGAGTGGCTCTGGGCCCATGGGCCGCCAACAGCCCCTCCACTGGCCGCCACATCAACAGACGGCTTCTGAAACAGGAGGCTGTCGTTCAGCCCATGAGGGCTGAGGTTCCGGGGGATTTCTGTAGCTCTTTTCTTCCAGACCAGGGGCCTTTGGCTGACCCCCACATGTGCTGTTGAGGTTGGAGAATGTGTGCTCTTGGGAGCGGCCAGGTCCTCTCTCCCTTTGGCCTAATTTTCACTGTATTGGCCGTCATTTTGGGGGATTCTTGGTCACGTTCTGGATCACAGATATTTCCTGGGGTCTGCGGGCATGGAATTTCCATTTCTGTTTCTCACTATCTTTGCTGATTCCGGCTGTAATCAGGGGTGAGGGAGTACAGAGGTATTTCTGCTATCATTTTACGCTGGAAGTCCTTTGCTACACTTTTCATTATTAAGTGGTTCTTCAGTTCTGGCCAGAGCACACCTTCCCGCCAGCTTACCCACCCTTAGGGAATATTTATGCAAATGGAATTCATGATTTGGAACAGCAACCAGTTTGTACCTCTCTTAGAACTTAAAAAAAAAAACAAACATTTTTGCTATAAAGGAAAGAGATAAAAATAATTCCTCATTTGCTTACCCCAGTGGCTTGTTAGGCAGAAATGCTCCCCAAGGGACCACCTTCTGCTCTGGCCTCTGTCTCATCACAGGATTGCTGCTCTGGAAGAGGAAGTCGCAGGCTGTCAGACAAGCCATTAATCTTCAACAGAAGTTCCTCTAGCAGATCTGAGACTTCATCCAGGTAGTAATGCTGAAGCAAAGAAAATCACATTAGTGAGTGCCTTCGAGAACCAGATTTTTTTCTTTTTCTCTCATTTTCTGAAGCGTTTACTGGTATTGACTTTAGATGGCACTGTGCTTTGTTAGAAAGCTCACTGGAGGGGCACCCGGGTAGCTCAGTCGGTTAAGCATCCCACTCTTAGTTTTGGCTCAGGTCATGATCTCACGGTTTGTGAGTTTGAGCCCCGCATTGGTCTCTGTGCTGCCAGCGTGGAGCCTGCTTGGGATTCTCTTTATCCCCATCTTTCTCTCTCTCTCCAAATAGAAGAGATAAACTTTAAAAAAAAAAAAAAAAAACATAGAAAGCTCACTGGACCCTGGAGTCAGAGACCTGGGTGCTGGGCCCAAATCCTCACATCTCAGTCCCTGATTCACCGTGTCATGTACGGGCATGCCTCGGTCCCTGATTCACTGTGTCACGTACAGGCAAGTGTTAGGGTTCAGAATGTCTACGTGAGGACTCTTACATGGACTTAAAGGCAATAAGGAATGGTAAACACGTGATACAGAACGAAGCCCTATAAAAACGCATGCTATCATGACTGCACGAACCACGCTGAGGGATGACTGTCAGTCATGAAACAGCTGGGCACTCGGCGTGCAAACACTGGCTCTGATGTGCCTGCCTCTGTCTCAGGGTGACTAGGCTCAAACACTGTGCCTGAGTCCCCACGTTCGGGTAGAGGTTTGGGTCTGGTGGCAGAAACCAAAATCAAATGACGACCCTACAGGGACAGGGTGGTGTGTGTTTGTTGGTCGAAGTGGGAATCATAAACTCCCATCTTTCTTTTATTTATTTATGTTTTAAATCTTTATTTATTTTTGAGAGAGTGAGAGAGAGACAGAGTATGAACAGGGGAGGGGCAGAGAGAGAGGGAGACACAGAATCGGAAACAGGCTCCAGGCTCTGAGCTGTCAGCACAGAGCCCGACGCAGGGCTGGAACCCACAAACTGTGAGATCATGACCCGAGCCGAAGTCGGACGCTCAACTGACTGAGCCACCCAGGCGCCCACAAACTCCACCTTTCTAACTCAACAGGGTCATCCAAACATAATGAGTTTGTGGAAGAGAACGTGCTTGGTAATCCCCTCAAGGCCTTAGAATTTCAACCAAAAATGTCCTGCCTTTGCAAAGATAGTTGGCACAGAATCGCCACCATGGTTAATAACCAAAAGCCAAGTTCTGCGAGGAAGCCTCCTCTGAATGTGCCACTGTGCCCCCTAACCCAGGCCCCACAGTCACCTGACTTTCGACCGTCTCAGCCTCTTCCCCCTGTGGCCGCTCCAGTCCCAGCAAGGCCAGGCACTGTCCCCACACGCACGCAGTCACGTCCTTTAGACTCACAAGGGATTTGCTTTGGAAAGATTTTCTTTTTCGAACAAGAGTCATGAGGGAACCTCTCAGCTGGGGAGGAGGACAAAAAAGATAGACAAATTGCATGTTACCAAACCCAACATGGCTTTGTTAACCTGACAGACTATGAAGTGGAGATCACATCTCAGGATGTTGTCCTGTGAGCTTTTAGTAAGACACCAATTGCTTAGCAAAACAGGAAAACACCTCTCGTGCCTTAAGCTCACTCAGAACACGATGGATTCAGCCTTGAGAACAAATCTTACCATAAAGGATGTTTCCGTATCTAACAGCTGAGGACAAACACTGTTAACGTGACGTGCACTTTCCACACGTAAAATCGGGTTGGGGTCCTCAGCAGCCCTGCCGGCCATGTGTGTGCCCCACCGTGGGCTTGTGCCTGTGCCCGGGAGACAGGAAGAGGCGCCCTTGTGGTCTCCGCACACCGGCCCCAGTTTGTTTCTTTCTTTACTGCAGGCTGAAACTTGTTAGCTCAAAAAGCCTGTGGGCACCAAACTCAAAGTTTTGCACATTTGACTGTTTTAAAAATAGTCCAAACAAGCAAACTTTTGAGCCATGCAGGGCCTGCTTTGCATACCCTGCAGAAAGTCACCAGTTGTTGTCCCTGGTAAGACAGGGTGCTGCCCCTGGTGAGACCCCACAGTGCTCCCGCCCTCCAGAGCTCTGACTCAGACTACCCTCGCGCCACTGGGTCACAGGGACACACAGAAGACCACCTCCCACCCTCCCTGCATCCACTGCCCTTCTCCCTTTCTTGAGGTGGCCCTGAGACACAGCCTCTGGACGGTCTTGTGCTGTGCGACCTGTCAAGATGTGGCCAGGTACCGCTTGTGTGTGTTGCTGTCTCTCGTGGTCATATCTTTTTCCTTGCTCGGTCCTAAATCCCTCGAACCCCTGGCAACGTGTCAGAGCCCTGCAGGGAGGCCCAGTGCCTGAGGACAGGACACCATCCGTTCAGAGAGCAGGTGTGGGTCCGAGGCTTCCTCCTCTACCAGCCACACGAGCCTGTCTCTGCAGAGACCCCCTGGGCACCACTGCCTTCCTATTCTTCATGACAAAGTCCAAGCACCTTATCATCTTAGCATGACACTCAGAGCCCTCCTGGCTCCAAGCATCGTTCCCCAAATCACGGCTGCTTAACTCTGAACTCCAGCCTTCAGACCCTGCTCCCAGGCGTCTCCGTGAGCTGGTCCCTCTCATCCAACAAAGCCCAACTCCACTATCCCTTCTGCTGTGTGAGGACTTCCTGGTCCCCTCGGGAAAACAAATGGGACTCTATTTTGCTTGTTGTTTGAGGAAGCTTCTAGGTAGGCTTTAGAACTGCATAGTTGTGCGAGATCCACGTGCTGAAAACTACAAGATGTCAAAGATGTAAATAGACAGACAGACAGGATTCTTGGCTTGAAAAACTTCCTATTGGGAAGAGGTCAATTCTCTCCAAACCTGATTTATACATCCTTAGAAATCTCAAAATCCCAGCATGTCGTTTTGTAGATACCAACGAGCAGATTCTATAAATTATATGGAAAGGCAAAAGAACAAGAACAGCCTGAACTGAAAAAGAACAAATCTGGAGGACTCATCTGTGCCACGTTAAGACTTACATAGAGTTCTACTAATCAAGACAGTGTGGGATTGGCAAAAGAAGGGGTCAGTGGAATAGGAAGGACGACCCAAAACCAGAATCACGGAAACAGTGAAGTGATTGGTGGCAAAGATACACAGGCAGTTCAACGAGCTTTTTAAAGATGGTGCCGGGGCAACTGGATGTCCCAAACGTGAAAGAACAGTGACTCTGATCCACCCCTCGAAACTTATACTAATATTAATTCAGAACGGACCTAAATCTAAAACCTATTAACTACAAAACTTCTAAAAGAAACATAGGAGAGAATACGTGTGACGGTGGCGTTGCCATTTGGTTTTAGATAGGACACCGGTGGAATCTATAAAAGAAGAAACTGATAAATTGGCCTTTACAAATATTAGCAACTTTCCTACAAATACCACCATTAAAAGAATTAAAAGAACAAGCCACAGAATGGGAAAAATAGTTACAAATCACACATCCAATAAAGGAAATGTATCAAAATTTAAAAATTGCTACAATTCTTTGTTTATACTCGTGTCATCCTCTATGGACTGTGGACAATGTCCTCTTCACCACTGCCTAAACAGAATGGGTATTCTTTAAGTAATTGTGGAATGAGTGCATGAATGAACAAATGAGTAGATGAATGGATGGATAGATGGAGAGGTGGGGGATGATTCGATGGCTGGCTGGCTGGCTACATGGATAGGCGGATGGATAGGTGGGTGGATAGGTGGGTGGGTGGGTGGATGGATGGATGGTTGGCTGGCTGGCTACGTGGATAGGTGGATGGATGGAGAGGTGGGGGGATGGCTGGATGAGTAGATGGGTTGTGTGGGTGGATGAATAAGTTGATGGATGGATAGGTGGATGGACAGGTGGACATATGAATAGACAGATGGGTTAACGGATAGACGGATGAATAGGTAGATGGAAGAATGGATAGGTGGATAGATGGAGGGAGGAATGGAGGGAAAAGGGAGGGAGGAAATGCAGGAGGGAGGGATCTGTGGATGAATGGGTGGATGCGTGCACGGAAGGAGGGCGGGATGGGTTAATGGGTGGACGGGCAGAGGGAATACTAGATGGATGGATGAGCCGTGACCAGGAAGCTAGAAACACTGAAAGAAAAAAAGGACTCAGGTCTGAGTATTGTCAAGGTGGGGGTTTAAGTTGGTGTGTGTGTGTGACATGACTAGATTGGCAAGTGGCAGATCAGTAGGAAGGTGGGAAACGGATCCCCATTCTAAACTCAGCCCGAGGTTAGAGAACCTGTCCGGTGAAGGCTGGCTAATGGAGTGAAACCTTTTTAAGATGGGAAGTTTGAAATAACAAGGCAAGAGTTAGCAGCCACCACGAGAGGAGGAAAGAGGGTGCAGCTCAGCGCTTGGAGGGCTGGGGGTCTCCCTGGAGGAGGCAGCACGCTGGAATGCTCGGTCTTGCTGGACCTGTTCAGGCTGTAGGAGTGTCCAGACCCTGCCCCTCGTAGGGCAGACGGGCCTCAGGGAGCCATGGCCACGTGGAGACGTGCACACAGACAAGGAGAGTTTCACGCCTACGGCAGACCCTGACTTCAAAGTCTGGGGCAGGTGCACGTACCATTCCCAACCACACGGTGCTCGTTACTATAAAGAAAGCCCCACAGCACCAAGCCGGGGCCCACGGGTCAGACTTGGAAAGACCGGGGAACGTGTCTCTTTGGCGTCTTCCTGGAAAACGGAACGGCAGGCCTTGGGAGACGTCCGTGAAGGTGCCAGGCGGTGCTGCGCGCAGGTGGGAGTGGGCTGCTAGCATCAGGACGCCCGCCAGCTGCGGGGAGAAAACCCGCCATCACTCACCTGACTTGGCCCTGGTTCTGCGGAGCCCAAGACCCGCCTGGGGGCTTCTGAGGGCTTCCAAACAACAGCACGCTTGGAGAAGCAGCTTTTCGGGAGTCGATCTTGTCATCCCTAGTGCCCGGTTCTGTCTGCTGCACCTTCTCTGGGGCCCTGCCCCTCCCCTCCTCCTCCCTCACCCCTCCTCCTTCCCTCCTCTTCATAACCTCCTGCCTCTCCTCCTCCTCCATCTTCCCTTCCTCCCTCTCCTGTGATATCACCTCGGCCTTTCTCCTCCCTCACGCGCCTCATCATTCCTTCCTCTGGCTGTTCTCCTCGGCCTAACCCTCCCCTCCTTCATATCTGTTCCTCCAATACGCCTTCCTTCCATCCTCATCTCATGCCCTCTCTTCCTCACTCCTCCCTCCCTCTGCCCATTTCTCCTCCCTCCCTCTCCTCTCCCTCCTCTCCTCCCTCCTTCCCTCTTCCCTCCCGGCACTCCCTCCCCCCAGTGCCCGCCAACTCCTCTGATCTCAAGTTTGAGTGCATCTCCCTCTCTTCCTCCCTGCACCCCACCCTAGCTGTTGGCAGCCATGCTTCATGTCTCCAGCACCTGGCAAGGAATCAGTAAAATAAACCACTTAAGAAGCAAAGGGAGTTACATTTTAACTCAGGTCAAGTTTTGTGGTCTGGTTGTTGTGCCACATGGGAGACTTGATCTAGGAACCTCGGGTGGTACCACTGGTCCAGTGTGCATCGTGTATTCATGTGGGCACATGTGTCCGCATGTGGCGTTACCCTACCTGCATGACAGACCGCCTTCAGCCGTAGATCGCGAGGGTCCGTGGGCCCCAGCCCAGCCCCCCCCCCACCCGCTGGCCCCATTTCCCGTGCTCCTAGCCCCGGCCCTGCACCCGAGGCCTCCCTACGAAGACGCTGGCGCTCCCCTCACTGCTGTTTACTCTGAGTGGAATCACAGCCGCCAGTGGTCCGCCACGTGGGCCGAGCAAGTGTGGTTCCCCCGCACACCTGTCCCTGCGCATCCCATAATTTCTGAACAGTTGGGGCTCTGCCACTTAGTTTGGACAATGTACTCATGATATTCTGTGTTCTTCTGAACAAAAAAGCATTTTTTTGAGTTGCGAAGTGGTATAACAACGACCAGTTTAGTAGTCAGAAGAGTTCCACGTGCGCACAATCTCCAAGACCAGGGTAAATGGCCAGGCACATGCCTGCCATGCGCTCCTGGAGGCGGAGCTTGGATACGGGCCCACGGTTGTGACAGCAGGCTCTGGAGAGGTGCAGTTGGGCTTGAAGCCGGGTCTCGACTCCGGGGTCAGCTGTTCCCGCCTTGGTTTGCTGGGCCTGTCCTGCCGAGCACGAAGCCAGCAGGGTTTGGGGATCTGTGCTTGGTTCCCCATGTATAAGTAGAGTCTGGCACCCTGACAGTCAGATCACCTGATCAGATCACCCAGCCTGGACCCTCCCTCGGGAGCAAGGGGAGTGGAGGCCTCCCCGTGAGGAAGAGCCGGGCTGCAGGCGGCCTGTCTGTGACAGTTCAGGGAGGGAACCACCAGACAGCCCAGCTGCTGTCCCGGCATTTAGCAAACACTCCGCGGGGGAGAACGGCTGCTTTGGCAGTAGTGATGGTAATAATGCGGCCGGAAGGCATGGAACAGAGCAAGCGTGGACTCGGTCGGGGCTCCTGTGCTCACGGCCACAACTCACCACGTAGTGACCGGCACCCGTGATGGAAAACCACGGGGTGATGTTGGAAGCCCGGGGCTCTAGGGGTGTCTCAGCTTGAGAGCTCGTCCCTCCCTGTCACCCCACCCAGAGAAGGTGCTAACAGAAGAGGACGCTGGCCGTGCTCACTTATCGTGGAGGGAACCTGACCCTGGCTCTGGGAGAAGCCTCACCCCTGCCGCGAAGACGCCAGCGAAAGAGCGGCGTGTCAGGAAGGAGCAGGACGCCACCGGTGTCTGGACACCAACAAGGCAGATGCACTTCAGCGTCAGGACGAATGACAGGGTCCCCTGCAGCCACGACACCCTCTGAGACAAAAGGACAGAGCGGGTCAGCACGTCACCCCAACTACAGGCTGTACCTGCCGGCTGTGCGCGAGGGGAACACCCAGCAGGCAGTCGCTGCATGTGATGACGTCCTGGTCCCAGGTGTCGGAGGGACAGCAAGCAAAGTCTGCAGAATGGACTAGGGCCAAGGACAAATCATAACACACGTTCGGAAAGACCAGGCCTGAGTTGGGACCCTGCTGGTTCTAGAAACACCAGGACAGCTTGTCGGGGCTTCAGTTCACTGAGCTGCACAACAGCAGCCACGGAGGAGGCAAAGGCCCTTCCCAAGGCCGACGGTTGGGGGGCAGCCGTGTGTTGAGTGTGGCCAGGCTGGCAAGCTGGGCCGGCTGACTTTAGCCCCGATGGAGAGTCCCGGGGCCCAGACTGTGAGGCTGTGACGAGGCGGGCACAGAGACAGCGGGGGTCAGTGCCTCCCTGCACTCAGCAAGGAAAAGGCCAGCACGGCAGCCACCATTACAGGAGGCGGAGCTCGGGAGACCAGCAAGTGAGTGCAGACACGCAGCGAAAGGCAGACAGGAGCCCACCGTCCATCTCAGAGAAGCGGCCACCCTCCTCCCCGGAGCCTCCAGCATTGAGGACGGACACATGATAAACCAAGTCAGCACAACACAGCTGATCAGCGCCATGAGGACAGGGCGACATTCAATGGACACGCGGAAGAGGGGTGAGGGCACTGCCTGCTCTGGGCCAGCATCTGTGTGTGCAGCTTGACCTCGGGGCCCCACCGTGCATGGCCCCGTGCCAGCCTAGAGGCTGGTCAGCATCTGGGGCACAGAAGAGCCCATTCTTCTAGGTCATTCTGGGAGGGCCCACCCTGGGGGTGTGAGGTCACTTGGGGCCCTGGCTGCCACCCATTGGGTGGAAAAGGGAGCTCCCAGAAGACCTGCAGGGTCAGGGGGGTGGCTGTGAGGCCGCAGGACGAGGAAGCCGAACATGAGAGCTCCACCTGCCTACGTCCACATCCACGACAGCTGTCCACACCACAGGCTGTGCTGGCCACCCCCCCCCCCCCCCAGCCCCCGAGGACTCCTGCCTGGGCTCACCCACCCAGATGTGCACTTGGCCCTGCTCCTCTGATGGAGCCCAGGCTGGTGGGGGTCAGTCCCTGTGGCAGGACCAGGGCCCTCCTGCACCATGGGAGGGGCTGACTCCACCCACCTCCGGGACACCGTTAGGAGGAGAGGAAACAGACACGATGTGTCTTAGTCTCTCATGTAGAGTCACTGGAGCAGTCCGTGTTCTAGAGTCACGTTCCACACACACACATGCACCCCTGCAACATGTCCCCTAAGGACTCCAGGCCCTTCCCTGTCCCATTCACCTTTGTCCTAGGCTCAGAGCATTTTCATTCAATATGGAACAAATCCCTTGTCTAGAACCTTCTAGAACGTGGATGACCGCCTCCTTTGGGCAGCCTCACAGAGCACGTGAGGCCCTGGACGCCCTTCCATACCTGATTCCATGAAGTCACAAGACTGAGGTCTAGAAACTCGTGGAAAAGTCCCTTTTGGAAGTGGTCGGCCACCTCCCCGGTGAGAGTGACCAGGTGGCTGGAGGCTGCGTGGTAGGCGAGGCCGGCTCCAACCACGGTGAGCTGTAGGGTTGAAGAGGAAGGTGCCTCAGGGGGCTCCCAGGGAGGCCCCCCCAATGGCACCCGCATGGCTAGGGGTGCAAAGTAACAGCAGGAGCAGCGAACGGATGCTGACCCCATGCTATTTGTCATCAACACGACAGAGGGGGACACGGCAAGACGCTTGGAATTAGCTAGAGCATAACCCTTTTCTTGCTAAAATTATCTTCCTTTTCAGGTAAGGACACTGGTTTTCTGGTACCGTTTTTCTCGAGGACAACAACAGGAGAACCTACCTCCAGCCAGCGCCCCGGGCTGTGCCAGTAGCTGCGGACGCCCGTCTCAGCCATGCCGGAGAGATGCAGACACAGGCCGATCAGGTTGAGCGCCAGGAAGACCAGCTGACGGAGGGATACACGAGACAAAGATACGACACACCGTGTTCCCAGGTCTGCACTCCCAGCTGGCTCCCTGCCAGGCACCAGGGGCTGTTGGTACCCTTCCTGCAGGACCCCCCGCCCCTCTGCCCCGCTGCCCCCTGCCGGGCGTCAGTTAGGGACACAGGTGAGCTCGTGGTGGGCTCCACGCGCAGGCAGACCCTGTGGTGCGAACAGCATGCAGCCACCCAGCAGGGTCCTCCCTGCCTGTCCTCGTACAGCTCCAGAGAACAACTTTCCACAGTTTGTGAGATGTGTGTTATTATCGGCTCCTGGGCCAGGCAGAGCCTTGGAAGCTCCTGATGAACAATTTCTTGAAGTTCCTGCTTGCCTGTGTTTGTTCATTCGGAGCAGCAGCAGGGACAGGATGTGCAGTAAGGTCCAAACGAGATGTGTCCCAGGGCGGGTCAGCCGTGCTGAGCCCCTGTGGACCCTCCCAGGTAACACTTTTAAGCTGAACAAGCCTCTTTCGGGACGCTCCTCCACCCCTCTGCAGAGCACTGATGCCAACGCGCATCTCAAAGCAGAGAGATGGTGCCGACTGTCCCCTGCCAGGCCCTGTGTCACAGGGGGCGGCACTGCGGGTCTGCGTGGATGTGGGGAGCAGGGACGCGGTGGGGAGCCTGGCGGGTGGGCCGCCCCAAGTGGAGCCCGGGACCCACAAGCAGGCACGGGTGCGGGCGGACCCACCTCAGGAAGTGTGAGGCGGTACCACCGGGACGAGTCGCTGTGGAAGACGGCCACCGACTCCACCAGCGGGGAGAGGGCCAGGCCCCCTGCAGGGAGCAGTTCGGCGCGCAGGGACACGCTGGACAAGAGTCGAGTCGGAGGGTTATAGAGAGTGAAGTGCACGGACACGGCTCTGGTGCTGCAGTCTATCCACCTGCTGGCCCTGAGGCCGCTCAGGGCCGCGTGGGCCGCCGCCCTGCAAAGTGGTGCACGTCGGGGCGAGCCAGGGCCGCCACCCCAGACCTTGCGCCCCTGGCCTCCGAGGCCACCCGGGATCCTGGGGCTGGACAGACGGGCTTCTGTGTGTCCCCCCTCTCCTTGCCCGGGACCCTGAGGCAGGGCCGCTCCACAGAAGGGAGGCCCTGCATCTGGCACGGGCACAGCTCGGGGAGAGGTGGCCACCTCTCACGGCAAGGCCTCTAAAACCTTCATTCCTCTTTTCCTACTGCAGACTCACTCTGGTGCCGGAAAGATGCCACCTTTGGCCTGTCTGTGTTTGGTGACAATGCAGTAATTTCCCTCCTGTGCTGTTGGTATCACTCACAGGCACCTGTCACCGTGGCTGCCTGAGGCAGGGCCCTTGTCGCTGTCAGACAGCCCACCCCTGTGCAGGCCATGGGCTGTTACAGCTGCCGGAGAGGCCGGGCTGGGTCACCAGCTGTGGACAATGGCCAAGACTTGGGTGCCCACCTGCACAATGCAGGACCAAGGGGAGGCTGCCCTCCTTTGTGGAGCCCCATGAGGCCCAGTGTGGCTGCGTGAGACCCAGTGAGGCCTAGTGCAGCCCTGTGAAGACCAGTGGGGACCCATGAGGACCAGTGAGGCCCAGTATGGCCCCGTGAGGCCCACTGCATCCCTGTGAAGACCAGTGTGGCCCCGTGAGGCCCAGTGAGGCCCCGTGAAGACCAGTGCGGCCCTGTGAGCATCCTGTTCAGCACAAAGCCATTGAGGACAAATGTTCATTAGATTTCCTGACCTCCAGCCTTCTGGCAAATTCTGGGGGGAACGTTTGGCTTTTCCTTCTTGTGCTGAGACTGAAGCCCTATGTTTGCCAGGCCTCCGGGCTGGGGCCTCACTCCTGTCACTCCCCAGTGAGAAGAGCTGCCCCTGACCAGGGCGGGTCGTGCCCCTGGCATCTGGCCACCGCACAGAGTGATGGACAGGCAAGCGTGGACGGAGCTGACCTCTGGATCACACTGACCTTGTGCTGCCCAGGCTGAGCACCCAGTGCTCCCTCGCCCCGTAGTCCCCGGGGCCACTTGCAGCCACTCCCTGGATGGCTGGATCTGTCACAGAGCTGGTGTCGGTAGCTCCCACTTGGGGGCTACGTGTAGGAGGAGAGTCTTCAGTAAGCACTGAAGGTGGGCTGGGAAGCTGTAGGAGAAATAATCAGAAATAATCAGCTGTAGGAGGGATAATCAGATGCATGTTTCAAAGTCGGCCCTGCGGCCTGGGCTGTACACACCTGGCCACACGCGGGCACATGCTATCCTGACACACGGCCCCCACTTCCTCAAAGCCCCGTCACCCCTGGGCTCCGGTGGAGCCCAAAGGATCCACTCCATCACGTGAAGGCCGTGCACCCGTCTGGGCTTGGACGTCAGAAGGGCTCTGTTGTCGCGGGGAACTTGGGCGAGGTGCCCACCTTCGAGCACCCCCTCCCACTAGGAGACACGAGAATACCGTTTTCAGTATTTTGGGGCTGTCCTGCTTTCGCCCAGCGTGCCGGGACAGGCAGAGGGCGCAGGAAAGGTTTGGCAAGAGAAGGAAGGGCAGGTGACGCCCACGGTTGTCCCAGACCCTGGCCGCTGACCGTTTCCAATCACAGCCAGGCTCCCAGCGAGGCTTCTCATGGCCTGTGGCCTTCCTGCCCGAACGTCTCCCAGACTTTCCGAACTCAGAGTATTTTACAGAGAACAGACTGGTGGGCGCCAGAGGGGAGGTGGGGCAGGGGGACAGCTGAAGCAGGTGATGGGGGTTAAGGGTGCACTTGTGAGGAGCACCGGGTGATGCACAGAGTTGCTGTATCCAGTGCGTATTGTACACCCGAAACCAGTGCGACATGGCGTGTTAACTCCATGTTAAGTCCACGAATCCACACATAAATCCACACGTGCGCACACACAGATAAATCATACATGCACACACACACAAATACATACATACATCAATCCATCAATCCATCCGTACATACATAAATGGCAAATCTCAGGAGAAAACACACACGCACACTCTCACGTGCACTCACACGCGCTCACACAAAGAGGTGACAAGAAGGAGAGCACCCCACCTCGCACTCTCTGTCAGAGGAAGCTCTCAGCTGTTTAATGACCAAAGCGCCCATGAGGTAGCACTTCCCGCCAAGGGCTCCGGGCTGGAGGAAGAATAAAAATGGAGACGCCTGCTACTCCTGACACCATTATCATCTGTATGGCGGCTAATTGGAATTTAAATAAAATTTTAAAAAATAAATAAAAAACAAACAAACGACAACCACAAAAAACATGGAGACGCCTGGACAGACGGCAAGCCTGGAACGCGCGGTGCACCGCCCTCTGGGAGCCCCAGCGACAGGATTACCCGGCAGGATGGATTTAACAAACATTCTCTGGAAGACACAGCTGCCTCACGGTCTTTGCACCAAATCTAAATGGTCACTTTTTGTCTTTTTTTTTTTTTAAGTTAAAAAAAAAAATTTATTTATCGAGAGAGAGAGAGGAAGAGAGAGAGGGAGAGGGGAAGAGAGAGAGGGAGAGAGGGAGAAGAGAGAGAGAACAGCAAGGGAGGGGCGGAAAGAGGGAGGGAGAGAATCCCAAGCAGGCTCTGCACCATCAGCACAGACCCCGATGTGGGACTTGAAGTCACAAATCCTGAGATCTGTGACCTGAACCGAGATCAGGAGTCAGACACTCAACCGACTGCACCCCCCCAGCAGCTCCTGCTTTTTGCCTTTTTCTAAAGTGTCTCCGGCGTCATCCACGTGACAGCATAGAATACGATAAAAGTGGAATCAGAAACGCTGCCGACCCTTGAACAGCACACTTTACACTGCACGGATCCACTGACACGTGGGTTTCTTTAGATGAATACAAGACAGAACCGTCAATGTACTTTCTCTTCCTTAGGATTCTCTTAAGGAGATTTTCTCTTCTCCAGCTTACCGTTATTATAAGGACACGGTATATAATATATCTAACCTGAGGAATATGTGTTCATCAACTGTTTCTGCCATTGGTAAGGCACAAGGTCAACAGTAAGCTGCCAGTAGTTAAGTTTTGAGGGCATCAAAACTTGCACGTGGAATTTCAACTGCGTGGGGGTCAGCACCTCTGACTTTGTGCTGTTCAAGGGTCACCTCTATGGTGTTTGAGAAATGCAGGACAAAATCATTTTATTTTCTTAAAGAAAGGCAGAACGTAGGGTCCCCTGGGTGGCTTAGTCAGTTAAGTGTCTGACTTTGGCTCAGGTCATGATCTTGCAGTTCGTGGGTTCGAGCCCCGCATCGGGCTCGGTGCTGACAACTCAGAGCCTGGAGCCTGCTTTGGGTTCTGTGTCTCCTTCTCTCTCTGCCCATCCCTCACTCATGCTCTGGTCTGTCTCAAAAATAAGCGCTAAAAAAACAGGTAGAACATAAAAGATAAACAAGGGACAGGGTTATTATATGAAATGCATATATTCACTGTAAGTTTTTTTTCAGAATTTGGGGAAAGCCTTGCCTCTTTCTGGAAGCTTCCTGGATGCTCCCCCTCTGTCCTGGGGTGCCCTGTGTCCTGTGTCACAGCATTTTGCACACTGATCTAGCCTTCTGTCCCCACTGGCCCACAAGCTCTGGTGGAGCCACCATGCCCTGTGTCCAGCCCAGCCTGGCGACTGCAGGCGTCCAGAGGTGCTGGTGCAGCTAAGGCAGGTGCACGGATCTGGAGCAAATTCGTGCTGGGCCGAGAAGCAGCAAGATGCACCCACAGCCAGGAGCCGCTGGCCCACAACCTAGAAGTCATTCACGAGCAGGCAGTGTTGCAGGTCAGGTGTTTGATGATCTTGCCCACTGTGACATACTTCCCTGCAACGACCCCATGTTGAAGGGCGGACAGAAGCCCACCTGAGCACGTGGCACGCCGGCTGTGTGGGCGCCTCGCCCATGCAGGCCATCCAGCAGTGTGGTCAGACTCCAGTCCCACCAGGCCCCCACACTTGTCAGGCCACCGGAGGAGCTCCTGGCATTCCTGAGCACAAGAGCAGAAACCAAAGTCTATTTTTCTGTAATGTACGTTTCCAGTACCTGCAGGAATAAAAGTGGGGCTGTCCGCAGCACGGGGTATGGTGTGATTCTGGATTGTGCTCTGCTCCTCGGCAATAGGCGGGAAGACCGCACAGTGATGAAGCCACCTGTCCCTTCGCTCACCTGTTCACTGGACAAACTTCACCGTGTGCCAGGCACAGGTGGGGAGAGAGAAATCATGCCCTGGCCCTCTTGTAGGGAAACAAACAATAAATCAAATAAATAAGCGAAATGGAGGCTGTGTCAGGGGTCCACGTTCAGGAGAGAAAGCTAAATCGTAGGAACCTGAAGGCAACGAGGGAGTGAGCCACACGGACGTCAGAGGGAGAGTGTTCCAGGCAGGGACGGTGAGGTAGAGGCTTGGACAGGCACGGGCCTGTGAGGTCAAGGAAGGGCGTGGGGGGCGGTGTGGCCAGTGCAGGGTGAGCACCAGGAGGGGACCAGAGGAACAGGGGCCCCAGGACCCACGGGTAGAGACACAGCCCCCTCTCCACACCACTGCCTGATGGACGGCCTCCCCCTTTCTTCCCCAAAGACCCAGAACGGCCGCCAAGCCTCCCAAGACGGCCTGAGTGTTCAGTGAATAGGCACAGACCGGGGGCAGGACGACACATAGTAGGGGGTCAACAAATGTGGGTCTGGTTTTCTTCCAATTAATTTTTATGACTCTTGTCAGATATCTGTTTCACTTTTCCAGCAAGGAACCGAAGTAAGGGGCCACCGGAATTTCGAGCTGACAACACGGATGGTTTCTGCTTGCTCAGACAACGCAGTGAAGCCACGTGCACGGGCCCGAGCCGCACATGGCTGCACGAGGAGCAGACATGTGGCTCCGAGCTGCAGTCGAATGGAAAATGAAACGTTAAACTTCTTTAGAGAGAGGACAAAATACTTTGCCCTGCCTCGAAAACACGTCTTTACATGTGGCTTCACAGAAAGGACCCGTAGCCATGGCAAGGATGGTGTGCGCCTAATACCCCCATGGCAATGGCAACCGGTCTCATGTCTTACTACATCCGGGCCTCCCTCCACGAGGAGGGGGGACCGGGACACTTCTTGGAGGAGGTCATGTTGTGGGAAAGCGACGAGAAGTTAGGAAGTGACATGAACTCCAGTCATCCAAGGACACAATTTCTTGTTCTCCACGTGTGCGGAGAGCAGGGGGTGAGGCAAACAATCCAAGAGTGTTCTCGCTCCGAATCAGAGCTACTAAATCAATCAGGCCCACAGAGCTGGCTAAACGTCGCAAAAATAAAGTCAGCGGCTATTTTCCACTTACGGCCCTTGGATGTCGTGACTATTTCATGTACTGGCGCCTTATTGGGTGGTTTGCTTCTGTTTAACTTGGGACTTTCATGGAGACTTGATAGAATCCAGAAAAACTTCAGATAAAACTTAAATATGATGGAACCCAATCTCATGATCGTTGTTTTTCTATGACAGAAGAAATCAAGCTGCCCAGCTGCCTCGCTGTGCAGATGGGGATACGCAGGCCCAGGGTCAACGGACTTGCCCAAGTCCCCTACTAAGCAAACAAAGCCCGGTCCCTCAAATAGACGTAGTTGGTTCTTCCTGGATGCTGGCAAACGCTGAACCGTGAAAAGCTGCTGAATTTTCAGGATTAGGTACCAAGGGAGGGTAGGGGGAGAGGGTCCCCCTTGAGGCATCCCAGTACAAGCCAGGACACATCAATACCCCTCCCCTGCCTGGTGGCCGGCACATCCAGAGGTAGTGAGATTTTGCGTCGCAGTGGGAGACACAGGTCTACACAAACCAACGGGACCAGCATCTGAGCCACGAATCCAAGCATATCCATTGCTCTACATGTGAGACTTTGCACAAATATTATCTCAGCTGTGATGTTTCTGATTTGGGGACCGAGAGGAACTTCTCGTATGAGAAGTATGTCAAGTAATGCTGACTTACAAAATAGGAGATCAAAAATAAACGATCCGAGCCAGAAATATCTCCGGTTTTCATCTCCTTTTCCAGAGAGAACCACCCAAATGGTCACTTTGCTTTGCACACAGCGCCTCCTGCTGGCACAACATGTGCTTGTGTGCAAGCGGGCAGAAAGCTGAGAAGTTGGTCATTAATGGAACTAACTGCGGTTGCTGCAAAGGGGGGGGGGGGCAGTTGCACTGCCAGAACATTCTCTGGTGAGCAGCTGTGTCCCTGTGTTCAGTACAGAGTCCAGACTCATGAACGTGGACGTCCTACTCCCAATACTAGTGGGCCCTAAACCTGCATTTGCTAGCCATCATCCGGGTGGGCGTCAATCACCACCTCTCTCATAGAAGACCAAAGCAAATATGTCCTTAAGTAATAGGTAAATTAAATGGATTTGCCAGCCACCCACATATGTCCCCCTGACATCAACAAAAATAAAGTCCATCAAGTTGAATTAGTCAAAGGCAACAAATTCATAGAAAAAAAATCCAGGAATGTGTTTCAAAATATTCTCCAGAGAGTGGCACCCGGGTGGCTCAGTCGGTTAAGCGCCTGACTTTGCTCAGGTCATGATCTCATGGTTCGTGAGTTCGAGCCCCACATCGGGCTCTGTGCTAGTATCTCAGAGCCTGGAGCCTGCTTTGGATTCTGTGTCTCCCTTTCTCTGCCCCTCACCCACTCCCGCTCTGTCTCTTTCTCTCTCAAAAATAAATAAACATTTAAAAATTTATTTTTTAATATCCTCCAGAGAAAGAGAAAGTAGATCTTGGAACATGGTATTTTATTTCCGCCTCCTTGACCACAGTAAAGAATGTATATGAGTTTGTGTCATGCACTTCAGAAATCAAAGCCACACTTCTTTGAAAAGAACTCTCAGACTGAATATTTTTTGGCAGGAGAAAATAAAGTCACTTAATAACAACTTTCAAAAAAAAAAAAAAAGGAATGGGCACATTAAGTGTCCACATTGATACAGTTCATGTCCCAATTTTGGAACCACCAAAACGTGGAGAAAATTATGGCACAACAAAATGCTGTCCGTGGTTGCCCCTGGATGGTAGTTTTTTTTTTTTTTTTTTTTATTGAGCATTTTCTGCTTTCTATGTTTCCATTCTTCTGTGTTTACCCACACGAATATGTACTATTAACAGCAGGAAGAAACAAATGAGCATGTGAGAAATGGTAGACAAGAGGGTCTTACCACTGCTTGAAACTGTGGCCATTGGTTATGAATCACAGCAGCCTTTGGCTGAAAAACTCAGATGTTCTCCGCCAAAAAAAAAAAAACAAAAAAAAGCAAAAAACCCACAAAAACAACCTCAATAACCTGATTTAGCATCTTCGCGCCAGACCTTAAGGTACCTCAAAATATCGTTTCGCTATTAATGAAACTGAGATGCTATAAATGTGCCCAAAGTCTGCCAAAAAGAGGCCTCCTGTCAACAGTGGGGACAACAGTGCCCGAGCCAATCTGACAATTTTTTCCAGATTTCACATGCGGGATAAGTGGTGAAACACCCTCTCTGGACCTCAATTTTGTAAAAGGAAAGTGTCCCGAGGGAGAGGATGGATCCCTTTCTTCTCTGACAGATGGCCTGTAATAGCAGACAGACAGACTTTTGTTCAAAATAACAGAGTAGGGGCAGCTGGGTGGCTCAGGGGGTTGAGCGCCCGACTTCAGTTCAGGTCATGACCTCGTGGTTCGTGAGTTCAAGCCCCGTGTCGGGGTCTGTGCTGACAGCTCAGAGCCTGGAGCCTGCTTCAGATTCTGTGTCTCCCTCTCTCTCTGCCCTGCTCCCACTCACATGTGCACACATGCTCTCTCTCTCTCTCTCAAGAATTAACAAACATTACAAAAAATTCCTACTGAAAAAAAAAAGGTAACAGAGTAAAGTAACCCTCACCCTGGAACCCCAGGCTCCAGGACCCCCCCGTCGGTGATGCTGTCCATGACAAACCAGTCCTTGGCACGGTGGCCCTGGGTTCAGAGAAGTCTGAGCAAACATCCTACCTTGCAAACTCATTCCGGATAGCTTGATTGAGGGAATATTCATCCTGGGAGACTTTCCCACACAGTACAAGCCAATGCAGGAGCAGCATGAGGGTGTACATGCAAATGTCTCTGTAAGAAACACAGTTTAAAATTGGCGTCCACACAGACCCTGTGTGCACAGACCCAGCAAAATATTTTTCGTGGAATGGACCTTTGAAACCCCTGGGTGAATTTTTGTATAAGTTGAAGTATGTACTGAGGTTCTTTTTTTTTTTTTTT